TCGTTTCCCCCACACAGTCTGATTTGTTCTCTTCTTTACGTATCCAACAACAACAGGCTCATATACCCTGCTCTATACCTTCTCTCAATTCACACTTACCTGCTCTCATTTTTTTTTCTTCTTTTTCGTTTTATTTTTTCTTTCTCTCTTTGTCTTCCTATTTCGATCTGGTAATTCCTTTGCCTGCTTTCATCATTCTCTCCTTGTATCTCAATTTCGGTTTATTTTTTTTTCTTTATCCACTCAGATCTCGTCAGAGGTTTGTTCTTCTCTTCTCTCTATTCCTCTTTTAAAACTACACTTTATTCTCGGCGCTTTTCCTCCCACCGTTGTAGGATTGCTAATAATCAGTTTCGCGATTCCTTTTTCTCCAAGCACGCGTACGATTACATAAAAACACATACATAAACTAGCGCCTACATGTATTCACACACATGCACACACAAACAAAGAGAAACACGCGTACATACACGCAGAAAGATGGCTTCCTTCCCAGTCTATTTCTTTTAATCTATCACATCCTTTCTCCCTGTCACTCTCTTTTTTTCTCTTTTACATTACTTTATCATTAACCCCTACTCGACAAAAAAACGCACTTTTGTGTCAAAAATGTTTTTCCTTATTTTTCCGATTGTAAGCACATGCACAATCTATCAAACTCTCTATATCTCTGCACATTTCGATCAGGCACAGTGAGAATATCTATCTATCTATCTATCTATCTATCTATCTATCTATCTATCTATCTATCTCAGTGTGTTCGTTATCTACCTATCTATCTATCTATCTATCTATCTATCTATCTATCTATCTAAGATTGTTCCATATCTATCTATCTATCTATCTATCTATCTATCTATCTATCTAAGGTTGTTTGGTATCTATCTATCTATCTCAGTGTGTTCGTTATCTATCTATCTATCTATCTATCTATCTATCTATCTATCTATCTAAGATTTTTCCATATCTATCTATCTATCTATCTATCTATCTATCTATCTATCTATCTATCTATCTAAGATTGTTCCATATCTATCTATCTATCTATCTATCTATCTATCTATCTATCTGTATATATATAAGTTTGCTCATCTAACTATTTATCTACATATCCATCTATATATGAATATTGCTATCAATCATAATAACTATGTATAGTTGAGGATGGCACAAGACCAATCACGTGCGTGTTAATATTATGCTACACTAATATTCCATATGGAAAAGAAAAGCTTACCTATAAAATCTGTATTCGAATTTTTAGTTTTTATCTCACATCGGACATCGTCACCTAGCATTAATGGAAAATATGAATTTTCAATCTATCTATCTATCTATCTATCTATCTATCTATCTATGGCTTCGTGTGTGTTTGTATGTGTGTGGGTGCGGGTGTGTGTGTGTGTCTTTTCATATCTATCTTTCCAGCTATTTATCTTACCTCGTCTTTTTATAAATATCTATTTGTCCATCTTCGGCATTTCATATATACCTATCCATCTCACTCTCTCATTCTCTCACTCGTTCTGTATATATATATATCCGTCTTTTCATATCTATATATCTATCTAAATCATTTTTTATAATATATAAACGAATCTATATCAGTCTTATCTATCAGGCCGTATGATTTTTTGCATGTCTGTCAAAGTTTTTTTTCCTGATTTATCTATATATCCACCTGTCTATTTAACTATCTATCCTAATCTGTTCATATAACTTATCTTATATACCTGTATACACACATACATACATATATGTATATATAGAGAGAGAGAAAGAGAAAGTGTGTGTGAGAGACAGAGAAGTGAAGAAGTGTGTGTGTATAGGTAAGTGTATATATGTGTGTGTGTGTGTTTGCATGTCACAATCTGTTTCAATCTGAGGCTGACATTTTCCATCATTACCACTTTTCCTTTAAACGCTTGATTCTTTTTCTGCTTTCTCTCCATCTCTCTATAGGAATCGTTTTATTTTTTTCATGTTCATTAAATGCAATATTTATTTTCGTTTTTGATTTCTTTTTATAGCTGCATTTGTTTTATCTTCGCTGCTTTATTTTCGTGATTATACACCGATAATTTCTTTTCTCCTTTTCTTTTAATATTTTAGTTTTCTTTACGATTTCGCTCATCTTTCTTTCTTTCTTTCTTTCTCCTCCATTATTTACCTTCATTCTTTCTTTCTTTTTCCTTTATCATATAATTTCTATTTCTTTATCGTATTTCGTTCTTTCTTTCTTTTTTTCTTTCTTTCTTTCTTTTCCATTATTTGCCTTAATACTTTCTTTTTACTTTATCATATAATTTCTTTTTCTTTATCATATTTCTTTCTTTCTTTCTTTCTTTCTTTCTTCTCCATTATTTACCTTAATTCTTTCTTTCTTTTTCTTTTATCATATAATTTCTTTTTCTTTATCATATTTCTTTCTTTCTTTTTTTTCTTTCTTTCTTTCTTTCTTTTTTTTCTTTCTTTCTTTCTTTTCCATTATTTACCTTAATCCTTTCATTGTACTTTATCATATAATTTCTTTTTCATTATCATATTTCTTTCTTTCTTTTTTCTTTCTTTCTTTCTTTCTTTTCCATTATATACCTTAATTCTTTCTTTTTCCTTTATCATATAATTTCTTTTTCATTATCATATTTCTTTCTTTCTGTCATTCTTTCTTTCTTTCTTCTCCATTATTTACCTTAATTCTTTCTTTCTTTTTACTTTATCATATAATTTCTTTTTCTTTATCATATTTCTTTCTTTCTTTTTTCTTTCTTTCTTTCTTTCTTTCTTTTCCATTATTTACCTTAATTCTTTCTTTTTCCTTTATCATATAATTTCTTTTTCATTATCATATTTCTTTCTTTCTTTCATTCTTTCTTTCTTTCTTCTCCATTATTTACCTTAATTCTTTCTTTCTTTTTACTTTATCATATAATTTCTTTTTCTTTATCATATTTCTTTCTTTCTTTTTTCTTTCTTTCTTTTTTCTTTCTTTCTTTCTTTCTTTTCCATTATTTACCTTAATTCTTTCTTTCTTTTTACTTTATCATATAATTTCTTTTTCTTTATCATATTTCTTTCTTTCGTTTTTCTTTCTTTCTTTCTTTCTTTCTTTCTTTCTGTCTTTCTTTCTTTCTTTCTTTCTTTCTTCTCCATTATTTACCTTCATTCTTTCTTTCTTTTCCTTTAACATATAATTTCGTTTTCTTTATCATATTTCTTTTCTTTCGTTTTCTTTTTTTTCTTTTTCCCATTATTTACCTTCATTCTTTCTTTTTACTTTATCATATAATTTCTTTTTCTTTATCATATTTCTTTCTTTCGTTTTTCTTTCTTTCTTTTTTTTCCATTATTTACCTTTAATACTTTCTGTCTTTTTTAATTTATCATATAATTTCTTTTTTTTTTATCATATTTCTTTCTTTTTTTTTTTTCTTTTTTCTTTTTTTTCCATTATTTACCTTTAATACTTTCTGTCTTTTTAATTTATCATATAATTTCGTTTTCTTTATCATATTTCTTTCTTTCTTTCGTTTTTCTTTCTTTCTTTTTTTCCATTATTTACCTTCATTCTTTCTTTTTACTTTATCATATAATTTCTTTTTCTTTATCATATTTCTTTCTTTCGTTTTTCTTTCTTTCTTTTTTTTCCCATTATTTACCTTAATACTTTCTGTCTTTTTAATTTATCATATAATTTCTTTTTCTTTATCATATTTCTTTCTTTCTTTTTTCTTTCTTTCTTTCTTTTTTTCCATTATTTACCTTAATACTTTCTGTCTTTTTAATTTATCATATAATTTCGTTTTCTTTATCATATTTCTTTCTTTCTTTCGTTTTTCTTTCTTTCTTTTTTTCCATTATTTACCTTCATTCTTTCTTTTTACTTTATCATATAATTTCTTTTTTTTCTTTATCATATTTCTTTTCTTTCGTTTTTTTCTTTCTTTCTTTTTTTTCCCATTATTTACCTTTTAATACTTTCTGTCTTTTTAATTTATCATATAATTTCTTTTTCTTTATCATATTTCTTTCTTTCTTTTTTCTTTTTTCCCCTTTTACAATTCTTTTTCTAACAAATCATATCGTTAAAATAAACATTTTTTTTTTAAATTTATGGACTATCCTGTCTCTTGTCTTCGAACCCCTGCCATTTCTCTTTCTATTCAAAGTTTCAAAACATAATTTACATTCTCTCTTTTTTCGTTGACGTATTTTCTCACAGACATTCTCTCTCTTCCTCTCCTTCTCTCCACACTTTTTTCTGCACTCTACCTCTTTTTCTCCTCTCTAGAAGCCTTCTCCTTTTCTTCCTTTTAACTCTCATTTTAGGTCACCAGTTTCTTTTCTTTGCGTATGCTTTTAGCCTGTAAGCTTTCTATAATATATATATATATATATATATATATATATATATATATATATATATATATAACCTCACCGTCGCTCTCGTTCTCTCCCCCAACTAAGTTTATTGTTTTTCACCCTTTTCTTTTCTTTTTATTCATTCTTTTCTCTCTAAATATTTTACTTTCTATCTCTCTCTCTCCCTCTCTCTCTCTCCCTCTCTCTCTCTTTTTCTATATCTTTATCCATCTCTATGTATATACGTGTCTTTTTTTTCCTTGTTCTTTTCTATAATTCTTTATTTGACTCCCCAAGTGTCTCATTTTTAATGCTACATGCTTGTACTCTGTGCTTTACTGATGAAAGAAACAATTGTATTGATGCAAGCCATCGCTGCTGTATAATGTTTAGCCTGCTGTGTTTATGATCCGTTAAGAGCTCAAATGTTGATTTATAAGTATGGCCTTGAGCCAGCCTTAAATATCATTATTACCGGAGATTCATATTTAAAACGGAAAACAATTCCGAATGATTCTGTGGAATATCACAGCAGTAACCTAAATAACATCATAACTCATTTACTACTACTAATACTACTAATACTATTACTACTACTACTATTATTATTATTATTATTATTGTTATTATTATTATTATTATTATTATTATTATTATTATTATTATTTCCTTTGATTTCAGGCGTGTACACATTTCTATCCGGGTCCCTCCAAGAGGCCCAAGGTTAGAAATTGCATCATGACACTTTCCACTGACAAAAAAAAAAAAAAAAAAAAATACATATATAAAGCCCTTCGTATTGTGTGGGCTGTACTTGTGAGAACAATTTTTTTTGTATTTCTTTGAGGCATGGACTTCCAGGAATCCCTTCAATTAGTCTACTGGAATCTTTTTCAGCCAATCCTAGGGCTCCAACTACAACAGGGATTGTTGATGTTCCCATGTGCCACATAGTAGTATTATAATGGATAAAACAATGACTGTCGTTTGTTAAATTTCTGTTAGTACTGTGGAGTTTTTGAACAACCCCAACCTATTTTTGGTTTATGTTCAGTCGGTACCAAGTCAGTATTTCATGATTAGTCAGTTAGTTTTCTCGATACGTTTGTTAAGTAACCAGGTGTTTCTGGTTTTAATCCTGGCATTTTTTTTTGTGAATTAAAAGCAATTTCATTTATTTTTACGTTTCACTTTTTTAATAAGTTTCACCCAACACAAGGCTCAGAAGATAAGGCTTTCTAGATAAGTACAGGGTGCGATGAATAAATTGTCATCTGAATGACGCAAAAATGAAAATAACACAGACATCTCATTTTAACAGATATATTTACCAAAATTTCGCAAAAATGTCTTGAAATAAAAAACAGTAAGTTCAGTCAATAAAATCGGCACTGGTTTCAATTACGGGTCCCAGACGGCTTCGGAATCTCTTGTATCTCTTCTGGATTGTCTCTTTATTTGTTGGTGAATGCTGTCATAATCCTAGTCTTCACTTTATTTTTGTTGTTCGAAGGAGCTCCGTTGGCCTTTTGCTAAATTGCACCCGATACATAATAATCAAGGGGGTTGCAGTCTAAGGAGTTAGGTGGACAGATATAAGGGGTGATTTGGTTGCAGAAATTGTTTGATAGGGATGACTATTTTCTCATGCTTGTGTGATATGGCGCAGAGTCATGTTGCAAAAAATAGTTTGTTTTTTTTTCCAGCAGCACCCCACTGACTAAGGGAAGCACTACCTCTTCAAAACACTTGATGTTGGTCTCCGTGTTGAGTCTTCGACCCTGTAGGAAGATGAATGGAACCATACAATCACCATCACATGTGATCACTCCAAAAATCAAGATGTTGACTGGATATATCATCTAACACTTCAAATTTCCGAATTATCTTCACTATCTTCAGATTGATATTCAAATACTTTGAAATGTTCGTATTGTAGATTCTGGCGCGAATGCACAAGCAGTGCATCATGTCGTTTCCAAATTTGCGGCGGAGGGAATTGCGTCATGGTGCTCTTTTTCTCACAGATGTTATCCAACTGACCCTAGTATACTGTCGAGAAAATCGAAAACAGTCGACGCGCATGCGCGAAATTAAAAATATAAATGGCCACAGTAAAGGATTCATTAATATACCCATATTTACGTATTTCGATGAAGCTAGGTGGGTGAAAAGACTGAACAAACTAACTGGAATTATTTTACCATTTTCCAGATTCCAGATTGTTATTGGATAATTTTTCAAATAAACATATTATTAAACAATGTTTGAATAAACGTTCCAGTCTTATATGAGGAATAAGATTCGAAAACAGAAACTTATAAACGTAATAACATCTTGTTTCGGCCAAGTATGCTTTTACTGATTGTTTTGCAGGCAACTTTCCCGCCGTTGAACTCATTAGTCTTGTTCATGTGTCTGTCGTCGCCATCTTGGTAAACATCTTGTAATTCAGGGAGGAGAGAAGAAGTGATGAATTCATTTACTAGCCTTGGATGGCAGCTACTCTAGGAGGAAGACAATTGCAAATCCACGCCTAAATTATACTGGCTATTAAAAGAAGCAAAATCTAATCAGGAGTTTATAGGTTCAGGAAGGTGAAAGTAAAGGACGCATTAATAAGCCCATCTTTACGTAATACGATGAAGCTAGGTGCCTGGAAAACATGTTAGTTTTAAAAACTGAACAAAATAACAAGAACTATTATACCATTTTCCAGAATCGAAATTATTCCAAATCAGCATATTACTAAAAAGGGTTTCAATAATTCTTTCCAATCATATATGAAGAAAATTATTAACGCGAAAATTATTAACGCAATAAAATATTGTTTCAGCCCAGTTTGCTCATCCTAACTGTTTTCCAAAGAACGATGCAGCCGTTGAACTCTCTCTCGCTTTCCTCCTGTGTCTCTCATTAGCGGTCAGCCTAAACGTCTTAGAATTCTGGGAGGAGAAAAGAGATGGAGCCATTTTTTAGCATCGGATGGAAGTCTTGGGGCGCCAATTTGGTATTGTCTTATGAGTTTTAACCTGGCGGAGACAATAATTCTCGATTGTTGTCCTCATCTTTATTGCAAAATTAAGAACGTTTCGACTGTTAGATTCTCCGATATTCTTCAGGTGATATACGTTGGAA